TTAATTAGGGTCTTTCTGAGCAATCTCATGCGGACCGAGGAAAGGACCTGGGTTCCACCGTTCAGGGCGGGACGAAGAACATGGATGTACTTGAGTCAAGTGGGTGCAGTTTTGCGGTGTATCGTTTCAAACTCCGCGAGACACACGACTGCGGGCGTTGACGTCGAACGAGTTGATGATGTGGCGACGGCTACGGCCAATCAACGAATTGATGCGACGGATGGAGCGCACGAAGGGAGGTGATCTGATGGTGCTCCATCAACGATTGGTACGAGCATTGGCTCGGAGCCACGACAGTGCAGAACAAGCCCGACGCAATGAGCAGGAGCGCCAAGCTCGTTACTACAACCGACGGACACGACAGCGACGGACGTTTAGTGTTGGCAACCGAGTGTGGGTGTTCAACCCGCCTCGAGGACAGAAGGCGACGAAATTTGTCCACCAACGGATGGGCCCGTTGCGCATTGTAGAGCCAGCAGGATATGAAAATTGGCTGCTGGAGCACGAGGACAAGATTGGACCGCCGGAGACGATAACAGCCCACACGTCGTTTCTAGTGAGCTATCATTACCCGACGGCCCTTCTTCCGCAAGCGGCGACAGACTTGGTGAAGCAATTGGGCGATGAAGATCAGAGGGCGACGAGGAACGATGTCGAGGCAAAACGAGCGGCTGTACAAGCAGCGGCGGCACCTCGCGAACGAACAGCGACAACAGGAGCGAAGTGAAGACGAGCTGAAGCAACAGCGGGAACGAGCGCAGCCGGAACCTCGAACGATGGACTGGTGGAGCTGCGGCGACGAAGACGACGCAACCGAGTTGGGCAGTACCCACTCGAGTACTAACTACGGCCGACTGGCGAGCGGCCATGGTGAAGAAATGATGACGAACGACTTTGGACGACCAAGGACGGACGACCGAAAACCCGGTGGGTCTCAGTCAATGAGTACGACGCACTGCAGCGCGCCGGACGGGTCGTGGAAGACCCGTGAAATGAGGAAGTCGTGTAATAGGTTGAGACGCACGTTATACGACGACGATGACGGCCAGTACGAACTGGTCAACGACAGAAAGAACAACACGAGGACGGGGGCTGGAGTTGACGTGGTTGCAGCACGTCTGGCAGCCTGGACCAGCGGAGATGGACGAATACGATGGCCAATTGCGGCCAAGGAGACGAAAGACAGCAGAGTGAAGCCCGGCGAGCAGTCGCTGGCGTGCGTCGTGGAAGCAGCTGGCACCCGCAGCCACGAGGATTCGCAGATCCACACGGACCTTAAGGGCTCTCACTTTCGAATCGGCGCAACACGCAACTGAAGCGAACGAACGTGCCGACGAACAAGTGCACTCGCCACAGCAGGCGCGGACACGAAACGAACGAACGACTGTCGACGGACCCGCTGCTCGGGTCCCGATAACGAACAAAGGACTGAGGTCGCTTGAAGACGCCTGTAGCGTGGACAGCGAGCCTCGACACAGAAGAACGAACGACTATTGACGGACCCGCTGCTCGGGTCCCGATAACGAACAAAGGACTGAGGTCGCCCGAAGACGCCTGCAGCGTGGACGGCGAGCCTCGACACAGAACGAGCGACAGCATCGGTGGACGCATCGAGGCTGGCGAACGCGCGGACGAGTGGACGGCGGTCACGGACAGAGTGTGCGTGGTGGTTGCAACGGCGAAGTGAGCTTGGGCACAGCACGACAGTGGTTGTGCGCGCTGACGGAAGGGCTGCGTTGAAGCAGGACGGGCGCCTGCGGCGTAAGGTCCGAGTAGCTAAGTTAGCGACGGCCTAGACTCTGGTGGAGTCGTTGTGGCAGCGGCGTGCAGGAGGACGTGGACGTGAGAAGCTCGTTCGTTAACGAATGAAATAGGAACGAAACAGAAACGCAAATTAATAAATAGGTCGTGTTGTCTTATAGGCACACTACCGGCGCGGGCGATAAGTTATCGACCGTCTGCCTGCGAGTCTTGGACGTAATCGGTACTGGGCGACCAAAGCCCCGTAGCTGGGTTCGAGAAGCTATTGCAGCGTTGAGCAAGCCATCGACTGTTGGATAGCTGACAGGGAAGGTAACCCCTGCATCGCTTCTCCCCTTGTAGGCATTCTAGGAAGTAACGAGCCTCGCGTACTTCCTGTACCTCCAATCGGTGGCCAACTTGGAAACGGCACGTAGTCTGGCATCCACGGATGCCGCAATCCACCTTTTGAGTAGAGCTTTACGAAGCGGTTTATTGTAAAGTGCGGCGTCGAGTTGTTTCGGATTGAGAAGGCTGTCCGTAGTACGCACTAGGGCAAATCGCTCTTCTATACATTTGTTTTTGTCTTGCACGATGCCCTCGTTTTCAAAAGGCTCATGTCGGCGCAAAAACCGCTTAACGGTATCAGTGATATGGGCTTTATCTCGAGCTCCCGACAAGACAGTGGGTGATAGCAGCTCGATCGTTGTTGATACCTTAGCATTACCAATGCCAACGATAGCTGCAGCAGCGAACACTAGCAGGATGAAATAAACGTGCATGACGTGACTTGTTTTGGAGAGCTTGAGCAGCACTGAAGAATTTGTAGAATGGGAAATAGTGGCCGCACAGCGGATATCACAAAGGCGCTACAAACGAGTCACCCCATCACAAGCTCTGTGCTATTTACTTCACAACAAATATTGCGATATTTGAATTTAGTTTAAAAAAAAACGAATACTGTATACATTTACCGGTAATTTGACACGCGGATATTTTGTATCACAGTCTTGGTATAGCGGAATTTCATTTTTCTCAAGAGACGGCCAATCCAGTGGTTTGTCAAATCGCGACATCATTTTTGCCGACGGTTACACCGAGAATGAGACAAGATTTGCACCTGAATCTCCTAGTACCGAAATTCCTGCAAATGCATTGGATTTTACAGGTTAGCTAAAATAAAAGTTTAGATTGAAGATCTTGTCAACACTGGCTTCCGATTTTGTATTGTCCCGACGTGTACACGTGGATGCTCGTATGCGCGTGGGATTCGGTAATCTTGAGCTTCGTATTCGGTGATGTATTATGTAATGGGTTACACTGTGTGGGACAAACGGGGTACGGGGTATCCGGAAAACTAACTGACTCTCCATACATAAGGGTAGGGGCTAACAGAATCCCGTTATGCATTTGATAAGGTAAAACTATGCTAGATGGTTATGCAGACACACTTACTTCTCTGGCAGTAAAAGTTAAATGAAACACTTTGGATTTCGTAGCATAAACTTGTTAGGTATTGAAAACAATTTTAACCCTAGTTATTGAGCTGTATAGGTCACCTTCGGATAAAGGGCTTAGTATAACAGACTCTCTAAGTCGAACGTCTTTATCTCTGACGCTAAGGCTACGGCACCCCTGCTGCACTTGATAGCACTCGTAGTCAATCCCACATCTCAGTCGGTTGACTGTATTGTTTGCGTGGATGGAACAGCCTGCGTTTGCAAATTTACCCCCGGCGCAGCAGGATTGCGCTTAACAAATTTACGCCCTCGCTTGGCCCGGAGGGTGGGGCTCACCCTGCGTCGCAAGATCCAGAGGCGGTGAACGCCAGGCTGGAGGCGTTTTTTTTGGTATGAGAACGCGATCTTGGAGCATGTTCAGGATACGATGAGTGCCGCAACGGCGGGAACATCGGCCACGCGTAACGGCTCTGCGATACCAAAGCCGCTTCTACTGAGCATGAAGAACTTCGATGGGAAATATGGAGAGAGTCGCCTTGTCTGAGTCCGTGAGGTCGGGATGGCCATGGTTTCGGCCATGTTCCTGTCTGAGCAGTAGAAACAGCCATACCGCACGTGTTATGCCGCCTAATCAGTCTTATTGTGTTCGGTCAAAATTCCTTGCCATCCGAGGGCTAGAAGGAGTCGCTGGACTATGTCCAAAAGTAGAGAACTCTGATCGCCGGTATGGCGGCGACCCTCTACCTAAGCTGATCACATTGACCGTGTTCATGGAGGGGATCCGCGTGAACGTAGCCCGAATGGAGGTGTTCCAAGTAGACGCGGGGCGACTTACGAAGGAAAAACCTGAGTTCTGTTGTGGCTCGAGGAGGTGAAGGGCAGAGGGGCTTAGCCCCGAAGGGCGCTGGGCTCTCTTACAAGAAGTGTGTATGCAAACCAGGCTTGCTAGCCAATCAAGCAAACGTGAAGGGCTTCGGGAAGCCGTGGTGATTCTGGATGGACTCAGGAGCCCTGGGCATCTACGCCCGTCGCTCTACCCTGGAAAGAGGTCAGCGGTATGCTTAGGCACTGAATGTGCAAACAGGAGAAACCGTTTCTGTCCGTCTCGCAACGGGAACACTTGTGACTGTGTCGAAGGTCTCAGCTGACCTTGATGTAAAGCTTGCGGACATCGAATGCGTGGAGCGCTGTTTGGTCTTAGACCTGAATTCGAGGAATGATCTCATCCTAGGCATGACATGGCAGGAGAACCATGAGACATGGATCGACTGGACGTCGAAAACGCTGAGTGCCACGTACCCGGCCATTGTGGAGCTTTAGTGAGCTATGAGCCCACCTCTGCTAGGAAATTGAGTGCTTTTAACGCGAGCAAACAGCCGAAGCAGCCCGAGAGCTGGACATTCGAATGCCTGAATTGGTAGACAGCGACAATGTTGTTCGCCCTGAAAGCGGTTGCGGTTCGGTACGCTGTCCGCAGAGATGTGCCGGTCTTGTCGCTGACCCACAGATGCAGTGTGGTAAGGGCGAGCGCGGCGTGGCGCGTAATGCACTGAGTGGCATTGATCAGGTCGATGATCTACCGCTGCGTGGCCCGAGGGCTGCAGATGACCGAGGGTCGGGGTATCATTGGCTCGGCTCAGAAGAGGCTGGTGAAGTGAGACCTAGCTCACTGAGTGAGGGGCATGGACCGCATGGCCATGAGACGAGTGTCTCTGGAGACATCGTAATCTCTTCGAGGGGTGGTGCTGCTGCACCCGAAGGTGGTGACGGAGATGTCACCACACCACCCTCTTCCAGCTGGGGTCGGTCACAGAGGAAAAAGATAAGAAGACGCAGGGCCTGGGTGCCGTCTTCGACGTCCGATGATGTGTCCAACCTGTCAAGGGTGGGGCCCCATGTGATTGCCGCGAACGGCTGTACCCACTCGTAAACAGAGTGACGAGAGAGACCGAAGGCGACATCGACCTGGTCGCTCTTCCCGCTGTAGATTGTCTGCAAGAGCTGGACGATATGTCTGCTGTTAAATTCAATGAAACTTTGAAGGCGGGCGAGGTAGCCGAGGTGGTCTTACTAAAACCTGAGGAGGAGTTAAACGCCTTGTTTGTCGTGTACTATGCGGGTTTGATGACATCAAGAAATCGCTGAGCGCAAGAAGTGGGTCGAGGATTCTGAAAGATCCCTCAGATTCCTTCTAGCCCTGTGATGAAGAAAAATGCAGACGTGGCCTCGAATGACCTTCCGATCGACCTGCTACCGGATCGAGACCTGCGACATTAGATCGACTTTGTTCTCGGAGCCAACTTCTGCGCGATACGGCAATGGCCTTTACCAAGATAGCAGTGTGACGTCTTTGTCACGTTTTTTTGCGCTCGGAGCAATAGACAGGGATGGTGTGTGACGGGTTCAACCAAGCGCTTTCACTCCGCCAAATGCAACTGGCGCGTAAGAACAAAAGACCAAGTTGGGCTGATCAGCTGTATGCGACGTGCATACTGAGAATCATGATGAGCAGCTGTAAAAGACTGTGGACTGATGGCGATGTAATAATTGCTACTGGTTTACTGCGTGTGCTATTGCGAGGTGAGGCGCACCCCCCGTGCAATCCTCAAGGATGTACGGCGATAGCGAAAGGGTTTCACACTTCATTGTTGGTCTGGCACCTTCTAATCGTGAATTTACTTGCCTTTTGTAAACCGACTACTCACATCGTTTGATTGCACTTGATCGGCAAAATACTCCTTTTAATCACAGGACATTGTTTGGTATTTCTTATGTTTTCGTATATTCTAAAACATACGACGATTTCTCGAAAATCCTTGTAGAAACGAACGGACCGGTTATTTCTCCATACGGTTTGTCGCCCACCTTTTTTATATTTAGAAGCGTAAGCAAACACCTAGTCGAATCATCCCACATATGCATTTCACGACCCTGAAAAATCAATTCCTTAATTAGAGTTAACGGGAACTGACCATCTAAATACATCTATTGATATGTATATAGCGGAAGCTATTATAGAAATCTGTAGTGAACGGGTTTAACGAACGTCATCAGCATGCGCGTAGGGCACGCAGGACAGTACATTTGAATGATAACAAGGGCTCCTTCCGTGTTTGGTCGGATAACTTTCGCGCCAGCCCTTCAAATCTACTCAGAGGGGAGCGGTGCGCGAGCCATCACTTTGAGCTTCGAACCGAGGCGACAAACGACGTTGTTGACTTCATAACGTCAGTAAAACTCAATGAGCACGAAATTTCAATGTATCTGAGCGGAAGCCGTCCTTACGCTTACACCTCTTTAATCCACAACATATCTCTCTCTCTATTTCCGTGTTTTGCGTTCTGTAAAAGGGCCATCCTCGCCTTTTCAACAGCGTAAAAACATCTAGCAGACATACATCTGCAGATGAACCACCGATCTGTATCTTGCTTGACCGTCACCTTTTAAACGCAGCAGATGTATTTAGTGCTCGAAGCAACAACGATGACGTGAATACGGCTGTCTATCTCGACGAGCTTGGCTACTGGATAGCACGAATGGCAAACGAATCTTATAAGCGGACCTATTGCTACAGAGCGATCGCAGCATGGACCAGCAACTGGGCATTGATAATGTAGGGTGAGTACAAGACAATATCGATTGCGTGGACGTTAAGCGCGTGCAGCACTGACGTCAACATATAGCCGGAATCGACGTCTTCAGCGGCAATGACGGCCGATGCGTGCGCAGGTTCCGCACTAGAAACACCTTGGCAGACGCATCCACGTCGTTATCACACGCGCCTTGGTAGGGGTAGAAGCTTATATTTGCTTCAACGAGCTCCGGCACGAGCTTACTCGATCCGAATTAGAGCACGTACGCGGTAAAGGGTCGCCAGCGGATTGGACTGGTCGCGCAGATGACCCCTGCCCAAATACATTTTTGGCAGCAAGGAAGAAGCCGAACTTTCCAATCACATAAATAAGTGTGGCTCTCCTCACAACACTGCGAGAGCGTGTGACGACAGCGCTGGGTAGGAAAGGGGGGGCGATCGTCACAGCGGCTGCAAGCGTTGTTGTGCTTGGGATCTTGAGTGCAGTGCATCTGTATCACGGCGACCACGGCGCTCGCCCTGGCAAGGGTCAAGCACCTTGCGTGGTATTGGATGTAGTGGCGGCTTCAAAAGCCCCGGCGATGAGGTAGTTGGACTAGAGCATCGAGGAGGGTATATCAAATGTACAAGCGGTGCGTCGTGGCTTTGAGATTCACTCACCACCGGCTTCGGCCATGTATTGGTGATAACCACGAGGCATCGCGGTAGCTGTGCCACTGAGCTGTATCTATCTTTCCGCTGGATAGGAAGCTCAGCGACGTGGTCTAGAGGAATGGCTGCGTACACCGTTTTGTTTTGGGGAAGAAAGTCCAATAGAGTGCAATGTGTATCCCCTTTACCAACCAGATGGACTGAGCCATTCCATGACCATCACTCTGACCGGCGACCCCCTCCCTCCGTCATTTTAAATTCAGTCCACACAGCGAGCACGTGACTTGGGTTTAGCCTTCGGAATGCCGCGCAGACACGTCCGCGCGCCCAAACGGAGCAATGAAGCCTCTGGATGTGAGGCTTCCAGTAGTAGCGATAGCGACAGGGCTGCCGAAACTTCTAGAACATCGCTACGCCAGCGACCCTCGACGCGCAAGAAGAAACGACCGAGCACGCATATGTCGCGTCGTAGAAGCCGAAGTGGGGGTAAGCTGCCTAAACGCCGCAAAAGAGATCATTGGAAGAGGCGCTCTTGCTCACACAGCTGTGGAATGTCTTCGGTCGTCTCTGGATCCGATGCAATCAGCACCAATGACAGCTCTGAATCCTCCAGTGCGTCTGAATCGGACACTACCAGCGGAAACAAGGCTACCGTCTCGAATCGTGGCTTTGGGGATGATGGTATCGTCGCTTGGGATGATTTAGTTCACGTTTCGAAGATTGACGTGGAGATGTTTCAATGACCGGAAGACACTGGAGGCGTACTTAGGGAAGTACGGTCGCCGAACATACCAGGTTTGTGTGCCAATCTCAAGCTGTGGCACCGTCTGAGACCGTATCACATTATTACGATGTTTATCATTGTAATCTTGTCTATTGATGCTGATTCTACATTTATGTGGTGTGATAGATATTTTTCTTGAGCAAATACACCCGTCCGCACAAGAAACCAAAGAATCAGCAAAAGCAAAACCCCAGGCAACATTCTGCCAGAAGAAGTGCAGTTCTACAACAAGACCTACGTGTGTACACATTCTGGAAAACCACGGTCTAACAGAGGTCTAGGTTCGCGACCTAACCAGCATCAAAGAAAAACTGGGTGTCCTGCTCAGGTATGTAAAGTCTTCGAAGTGAAACATAATTGTAACTGATTTGTTCGTGTTTAGATTAACGCATGTGCACGAGAAAACGGGATGGGCGGGGGGTTGCTTCACCGGACAGAAAACGGGGCAAAACTAAGACATTAGCCAAGAGATCTATCAGATCTACCACGAAGCACGCAATGTCCCTAAGGGTGAGGTGATATCTACTATTCGAACGCTTCACGGAGCTGGAGCGAGTCGAAAGCGTATTCTGGAATACATAACAGAGAACAGTACCATGGAGCCTTAGATGAAGGATGTGCACAACCTGGTAGCTCGCCTTCAGCAAGAAAGCTACGACGATTGAGGAGCGTATTTAAGCCACCTAGAGGATTATTCTTTGCAGAGTGGGAATGTTGCAAGGATCTACTTAAACGAAGAGGTACGTAGTACGTCTTCTAACTCTGTTCTACCTGCACTAACGTTGAAGGTTTTATAATGAGACAAGAGCTTAGCACAGTGTATATCCATCCAGTCTGTGCACATGCGGTCCATGTTCGAGAACTTTCCAGAAGGGTTGCTGATTGACGCGACCCATGATACCAACTCCTCCAACAACAAACTGTTTAGTTTCATGATTCATGATGTCATGGGAAAGGGCCAATATGTATAGGTGGGTTGTGTAATTACGCAGAGACTGGTCCACCGTCTAAGATTGTATGCGATGCTGAAACCGTGGCCTGTTTATATCACTGATACTTCCCTAGTATTGGTTTTTATTAAACAGGTTTTTTATTTCGTAGCACTGCCTAGTCGAAAACGAGCGGAAAGAGACTCTTCGGCTTGCCTGTATACAGTTCAAGGAGTACAATCCATCCTACGATGCGGTGGCAGTCATCATTATCGACAAGTACTTTACGGAGCTGATACTGTAAGAGGAGGAGTTATCTGGGGCCAGGATCTTAATCTGCAGTTTCCATGCAGTCAAGGCTATGCAGATAGAGGTTTCAAAAGATGCGTACAACCTCGATGCGTGGACCAAGAAAGAGATGAAGAGACTAATCCGACTGGTGGTCAGCTCGCGACCGAGACAGTGTACGACAAAATCATTAAGCTATTTGGGCTGAAGGAATACTCGAAAAAGACGATTTCCTGTAAGGAACTGAAGAACGTGGACGTGCTTGATGATTATTTTTGGGCTACATTGCTGTGTGGTTAAATAATGATCGAAGGGCCTTGTTTCAAGACGCGGTGAAAGCAATTGTGAAGCGCAACAGCGACAATTTTAGGTTTTTTAGTATTCCTTCCAATGTGCTTCGCTTCCCCAATTTCGACGTCGAATCCATAAAACATCAAGCCGTCTGGAAAGACCTTAAAAATGCCTGAGCCAATATGGATCTCGACAAGGATGGCCTCCTCTTTTTTTGCGGTGATAAAATATGGGCTAAATCACTGGTACGCTGTGACAGTGGATTTTAATTCCAACGAGGTAAAGGTTTACGACCCTCGACAAGCTGAAGATCGATATGCGTCTTGTGTGGCAAATGTCCTATCTCTGTGGGAAGAGTATTTGACTTTATATAAGTGGTGTTCGAAAAAAAATAGGTCGCGACATGCTAAATCCGATTAAGAAAAACATCGTTCTTAACGTTGTTTTTAGAACAAAATAGGACTCGTATGGACCGCCAGAACGTTTATTCTCTGAAATTTAAATCAGAGTTTTAGGAGGCGTATCATTCTGACCCAAAACTACTCTATTTTCTTATACTCAGATTTTAAACTAAGGATTTCAGCTCAAAACTAAATAAATGGACTTGAGCACACACCTGATATATAAAATCTACATTGGATTGTAGTACCCAATATTTTTTCTTCTTCTATGAACCTGGATACTGTGTCATTTCAGCTTGTATCAGAAACAGCAAAGTCAATCAAGCTGTTTGGTTTGAAAATCTTATATCCAAGGTACCAGTACCTTCAACCAAGGAAATGGAGCATGACTGTAAATTTCGACTAACCGAAGTAATTTAATTCCCGTGAATGTTGTCCGAACAGACTTCAGCTTCCACTGAGCACAGATAATGCGGATGCGGAGCAGGCGCATCCGATGCCTACGGCATACCATACCGCCAATATCCTTCTTGTGGTCGTAGTGCGCCTCCCACAGTGTGCTCGCGTAATTACTGTTAGATCAAAACATACAACGGTATACAGGAGCTTATACAGTAATGGATGTCAATAGGGAACGCATTGGAACTATAAATAATATCCTTGTAAAGCTTCTACAGAACAAATTGGCAAGTACCTTACTCTGGCACTTTGAGTATGCTAAACCCTCTATTCTCAGATGTTGCTTACTGCACATTACCGTAAAGCCAATCGCGAAGCAACCTCCTTGCACGCAGTACCAATAGTGTAACCTCAGAGCTTTTCCGCGTGAAACACGGCTTTCTTTTCTATTATTAATAAAGTGCTTATAGTTTACTGTAGGACACTTTTAACCTATAGTTTTGAAAGTGTTAGCAATATCATTTTAATTCTCAGAAACGTTCATATTTGGCTCTGTGATAATGACCTCCGGGCGAAACAGTGGCTGCTTAGCTTACAAATTGTTTACAATACACTTTTTTAAGGTGCGTTTATAGTTTGTAGCAGCACTGTACTACTTCGTAAAAAAGGTATTAAAACAAGGTCAAAATTGATACTGGGAAGGACCATCTCAAAGTAAAGCTTACGCGCACTTAATGTCATGGTATAAATCCGTAGTAGTACTTCTCTCGTTTAGATCGATTACCAACCGGACTCTCGCAGTTCTCTAAAATCGCTACCCTATTCTAACTGTCCGAAATACAATCGGCTACTTGTAATTTTATCTTATAAGCAAAAATCTCAATTTCAATACTTACGCTCGAGTTATCTGCCAACCACATTAGTAAAAGAGGAAGAGGCTTTAGCCACTAGCACAAAATGCTTACAGATCAAAACAAACGCCTAGAATCAAATGCCCATCCTCTGGTGGTACAACTGCTCCTAGAGTTGGTTACCCGGACCGGGGCATTCGTTTAACTAAACATTCCCGTCCGTGGTTACGACAAGCTAAGCCTTTTGTTAACGAATGAGTTATTCATTGTCTCAATTACTGCAAAGCGAGCGATCGTAAACGCTGAAATTTGCTTCTTACAAGTAATCCCTGAGTAGTTACGACCTTGTCAGTCACTCACCGAGTCCCTATCCAACAGCTCATTTCTCGCATGGACTGTTGTACACGCAGCTGTAGTGACAGCACGTACTAAAATCCCCAGTCCACGATTGGCGGCAGCACTGGGTCAGTTTTTCATTTGCGTCGGGGCATTCGGCCATTGGGCATCTATACACGTTCCGCTGCGTTTGGGCGTCGACGTGGTTGAAGGCCACGACAACGGCTGCAAGAAGGACCACAAAAGACGCTCCAGATTTCATTGGTATGACGAGAGTTCTTGGATCGAGAGGTTGGCTCTTTGGATCTGGCAAATTGAGAAGTGAACAAGTAAAATGTTCACTTAAATACCACCTGTGGCAGCAGGTTAGATCTCAGAGGGCTCTCCAGCACAATGATTACGGCGTTTCACAACCTCGGATGAATGTCACCGCACAAAAGTATCTTGGTTTAATTGTTTCTTTAAGAACCTTTGAATACTGCGTTGCTTTTTTGCCTTCTTTAGACAGGGAGGAGGGGGTGAGGGCATTTAAGACCCATGCCACTCTATTGCACCCTCCGATGAACGCGTTAGATATACGCGATGGGGTTGTTTTTATATGCGCTGAACGATCCTCATAGAGAGAGTTTACATGAGATTTAGACCTCCCCAATGCGACACATATTGAAGAAATGGCGCCTTGTTCTTACAAGTGCACTTGCGATCTTGAGAACTCAGAGACCATGACTTCTGTCCTTTGAGAGATCTCCATTTGCGGTACCGGCATCATCATATTAAAATATATTTGGCAGAAAATGTAATCATTAAAAACGTTAACCAACTTGGTGTGTGTACGTACAACCAAGAAAATGTAATCATTAAAAACGTTAACCAAGTTGGTTAACGTTTTTAATGGTTACATTTTCTGGTTACCAACGAAGACAGGGCTTGCCCATCACTACCAAAACGTAAGACTACGATTTCGGGATTGCTTCGGTATCCAAGGATGTGGTCTGCGAAGAGAGAGTGGTGCAACCACTGAAGGCGATTTTTTACGTTTCGAGAGTATACATGTACTTTAGAGTACCGGTGCTGAACTGGGTGCTTCGTGCTGAAGGCGAATAACAAGGTCTTGGCTGTTTTAATTTCTACGATAACCTTCGTCTCTCTGTTAATTTCACCATAAGTTACTGTTGTATTATACCAACATCTTCAAATTTACAAATAGCACCGAAAACTTCTCTTTCCTAAATGACTTCTTGTGGAACGCAGCTACATGACGTTCGAAAACGGCGGAAGGCGTCTGTGTCGGTCCGAGGCTGTCACCGATATTGCAAAACAAAACATCAAATGTGCACCTCTTGTAGTCAGTGCAACGAGGCCTGCCGCGTTTTGTGCTGAAGAGACATGAATTAAAACGTAGGTGCGGTGTTTATTTATCCTATTTGACGCGACAGGATCTAAACGAGGCCACGCCTAGTCTCGTTGGGTTTCAGCGTCGTCTGTCACCTGTTTAAAAACTGCCTCAAGAGAAACATTTTTAAGTCTACCTTACCCATTTCGTGGCAAAATGGCGCAGAAAGCGCCCTTTTAGTGGTTTGTGCAAAGAACAGTAGGAATCAGCCTCTTAAAAGGCGCATTATTTGATCTTTAACGAAAGTTTAACTATATGTTGCGACATAGAATAGAAATTTACTTTAATCCAGTCACGTTCATGTAGCTCACCATCCTATCTTAAATAATTTGTTACAAGAGATAGTAAAAAAAGGAGTACCGTGACTTTGTAAAAGGGCGAGAAATGCCCCCTTTAGAAAAAAATGACTTCTAGTTGTATACTATAATCTACACAAGAGGTGCACGAAAGGGTTTACCGGTACGTTAAAAGTTGATTAAGTGATGGCGTCGTCACCGAGGGCGTGCCTCACGCCTTAAAGTACCAACTTGCTAAACAATATGGTTTGCATCCCGATTGTCAATTTCCCGCCACCAAAAACTTGCAGCGTCTGCCAATAAGTCCGTCGGTTTCCTGTCTTGCTGCTTTTCCCTGCCTTTTCGCATGGCGACGCTCGGCCTGTCTAATACACTTTGGTCCCTTCTTAGGGACTGCGTCTATCTTACTGACTCGACTAAACTATGCCGAAATTACAATTATAGCCAAAAAGCGGACACAATTAGCTCGCGTCCTGATTGGGCAATACCTGCGGATCTGCGACACTGACTGGATCTGTCGCACGATCAGACCGCCTCTCTCCTTCGTGATGTAAGCATTTCTGCCGAGCACGAAACGCACCGATTGAATGCAAATACCAAAGCGAGCTGTCTCGACGTTTAAATGTTAACATTTAGCTACGCTAAATCTGTCGTATGTAGTGTAAATCGGGCACTGTAACCAAATTTTTTTTAAAGCTCTGCAAGGTTATTTTCCACACACGTTTTGAACCTAATTATTATCATTATTGTTTTTATCAAATTAGGCTTCACGAATTTGGCGTTAACAGCACCCGGGAACCGCACTACATGTGCGCATCGTACCTATGTGGTAAAGTTTGAAGGTCGTTGCTATTGCTTAACCCCTCCAAACCGGAAACCAAAAGTCACATTTAAATTGCATATGCAGCTTTATCAAACTTGGTATTTGTATATAATGGGATAGGTGTAGATCGCTCATAAAAGAACGGGATTTGCAAAACTGCGCAGAGCAGCGATTAAACTGCCTAAACCTGCATATTGGTACTAAGGTTGGCACATTTAAATTGCAATATGCAGTATAAGATGAAAATAGTCAGGACGACTCCCGAAAACATAGGAACAGAACCAGCTCAGTCTACAGCTCCCATTTTTAATTTTTTGAAAACTGACACTTCCTTTACAAATTCCTATAAACAAAGTTGGGGTGTCACCCCTATCAAGTAACGCAAGCAAATGACACGAGACTGTTTGTTTTCTGGTCTTTACAAATTCGAAGAGTGCTATATATGTGGACACCACAGCTGTTTGATTACGACTCGACTGGAGCAGAAACATGAGCCTTGTGATGCACTTTGAGATGAGCTTACACGAGAACAGACATTCGATGCTACACACCTGTGGATCAAAACTTACGCAGTTTGACTTATCCTGAATATAATGCTCCTTAAAGACAAAAATATATGCAGGGCAGAAGTTACGTTGTCGTTCGTCGCCTCTTGGAAGATGCTGGCGTTGCAGGAGTACTCGGCGTCGATGGAGAGCTAGGCGCTTCAGCCGGTTTCTGACGCATACGAATCCCTTTGCCATTTTCGAAAGGGATCATCTTTCCGTTCATCAACTCCTTGTGTCACACATTCCAACATGTCATGGCGACCCCACGCACTTGTCGACGCGCCCGCATGCAGAGGTAGACTGGACCTTTGTCGCTACAGTCGCCACGATAGTATGTAGTTGTTGATGCTCGCTGGGTGTCTGTTCGAAGCAGCGAGCACACCTTGCATGTCCTTTGCCGTCTTTTCCCTTGTGTTCATTCGTTTCTCCATTCATCTACTTGACGAACAGCGCGTCCAATTGACTGGTTTGCACCGACAGGGACCGGTACAGATGCAGGTCTGGTATGGGGTGGCTGGTTGCCGAATGTGTTGGCGTCATACATGCCTGTAGCTTGTAGGCGACACAGCTGAAGATGGAGTTTCTTCATGTACTTCACGTGGGTAAGTGGTCATGACTGCTTGTTCTTGTGACGTCCTTATGGACTATGTATCCATTTACAATGCCAAGTCGATGAGCCCCAGTGCCAACGACTTATAGTATTTTCTCAAACAGAGTACACGCTGGAGAGCATAACGCTGCAATCCCAACTGGTCATGGACATCCACGCCACCCATGTACGCTTGAATTTTTTTTTTTACGACTCTGCGGCATGGCACTTCCTCTTGCGTAGGACATTTCTGTCGCACCACCCGATCTAGTGCAAGGCTTCCTCCCGTGCTGAGAAAGTGTACAGGGCGAGAATCCCACCATCCTATTGCTGACATATTTGGCACGAACTTAGAAGTAGCCACCTTGAACGACCCACGCGTAATCGCGGGTGGACGAGTCTCCTTCTTCTCGACGACACCTTTGCAGTACAGTATCACAAGCGGTTGGTCATGATTGTTCCCACGCAGTAAAACCCTATCAGCAGCAGCTGAATAGCTAAAGCCACAGAAGTATAGATCCAATCGATGACGACTAGGCGCATTCCCTGCTTTCTAGAATACGGGGCAAATGCAGCAAGTAGGTTTCGGACAACAGCAGCAGGGCCTGATTTCATATCGGGCTTGTGGGCGTCGCTAGCGTGCTGTTTCTTACCGCAATATACTTCAAACCTGCATATATTCAGCAAACAAGACACACAAAAATGTCAGACAAAACTGCATAATGCACGATAGTAAAAAGCAGTTTAGAAAAATCAGACCCGATGCAGTACGCTGTGACTGCGCTGCATAGCATGAAGAGCTTGGTGCCCCACTTGTGGGGCTTGTCCTTCATGTAAACGCGCATCTTATTGTAGGATGACCGACTGCGTAAGATTGCTTCGTCGAACGCCAAGTGTGATGGCGCAACGTATCCACGAAGGAAAGTGCGTTGCAAGACTTCTACCAGCTTGCGAATCTTCCAGGCGCGATTTGTTTGAGCCCTGGGGTCTTGTTTAAGTTGAAATGAAGATTGTGTGAAATTTCCATGAATCGGTCTCTAGACAGCACTGAACCGAGACACCCTCGTGATATAGCGCCCTCATCCGTTGTCTTCCAGTGATTAGCAAGTTTTTCTCTGTTCGGAGCAATTGTCCTTGCCACCAATAGTCTAACAAACTGGCACAGTTCGTGTGGTAAGATAGGATCCATGCCTTGCAAGTCGTGCTGAATATCTCGCCTTCTCTTTCTTGGTAACTGCGGGTTCAACCTCCACTTCCGGCGATATCGCTGAAATGTTTCGTCAATACGACGTGGTAGCGTCTCCCGGTGATACTCCGTCGAGCAAGCAGCAATGTGCAGCCACAATACAACAGGAAGAAAGTAAACGAAGAGTCCAATTGGAGAGTCGCCTCTGCTCAAAACGTCTGCCTTGCCGAAGGCCAGGATAGCTTGAAGTATTATCGACGGGGTCGTACGGGCCCTGCATGTACTCAGCAGATTCAGGTTCAATGGCATCCTCCCAGCCAATAGCGGACATCTCACGCAGGTCAGGGCTCGTTAAGTTTCCAGCGAGAACTTCATCCTCTTCACCAAAACGATCAAGAAAATTCTCCGCGAAATGAACCTCTGCAGT